CTTACAGCTTGTAATTCCCTTAACTCTTACTTTTCTCGCCTTCTTTCATTGGCTAAAGTATAATTGAGTTCGACCCATTCAACGCTAATGGTGTCTGTGAAAAAGTCAAGGTACTCTCTCTGTACTAAGCAACCAACCTAAGCAAGTTTCCCAATCTTAGACTCATCCTTAGTTATCTGATTCTCCTGTTCCAAAGGGGTACTATCCTCTTAACTCGGTAACCTTCCTTTAGGCTCGGTCTACTGTGACCTTGAGAGCTACCATGCTCTCCTGTAAGCCTCTTCAAGACCTACCGTGACCCTGAATTCTTTCCCATTGAGGAAAGGTTAACTCCATGAATCTTTCCTGCCTTTCAGAGAATAGCTCGCTCTTGGTAGAGCGGCGTCAGCTCGGTTTCAAAGAATCACTCCTTCTTCAGAGAACAACTCGCCCCCAATAGAGCGGTGTCAACCCTATATCAGAGAATCACTTCCTCCTCAGAGAACAGCTCGCCCCTAATAGAGCGGCGTCAACCTTATATCAGAGAACCACTTTCTTTTCAGAGAACAGCTTGCTCTCAATAGAGCAGTATCAACCCTATATCAAAGAACCACTTTCTTTTTAGAGAACAGCTTGCTCTCAATAGAGTAGCATCACCCTGAGCCGGAGAACCACATGCCATAATTTTTTTTTTCTGAAACACTCTATGACCAAGACCAGCTGGTTGCTTAGTCTCTATCTTGGCATATTCTTTTCATACCGTATCCCTATTAGGGAACCCTTTCAACCTACTTTACTTAATTACTATGGCAATGGCATCCATCCAAACGAGTCTTATCTCTTGCATTCTTATAGGCCTGAGTGTTATGGTCGCACTTCTCATAAATGCTTGAAGGACATAAAGGGATATTTACCAGTGCCCATCATTACCATGTATCTAAATATTATCAGACTCAAGGCATCATCGAGAACTTGCTCATTACTTTCTATATAGCACTTCTCAGTGCAACCATCAGCTATCACATTCTCATCTATTTCCTTTTCATAATATCCTCAAGAGTGATCTTGCCTGATTCTAATTTCTCAATTTACCTCACTTTCTAGCCAGTTATCCTTACAGCTGGATATCAACCACCCTCCTTTGATCACATTACATAGCAAATATTTAATCACCATGCTATGTTATTTTGGTCAGGCACTTAACTTAGCATTAGTTTTTCATTCCGCATCATCTGATCTCTATCCCTCTTGGTTTATCATGCATAAGGGCTTTTATCCCTATTCAGGGTTCTAGTACAAACTTCAAGCATCTTATCCTGTCGTTTTGCCTCTATTTTACTCAGGTCTATAGTAACCCTGTCTCAGGTATTTACTCGTCTTTACCTTTATAATGCAATTTGGTTTCCCTTCAATGTGAAGACTAAATCTTTTGGCAAGTAGGCTCAATGCTTTCATCTTACAATCAAGGCGTAAATTATGCAAGGATAATCCATTCAATCCAAGTATAGCATCAATATCATGGGAAGGCATGCTTAAGGGTTCAACGTAGTGCTACAAGGAACGTATCAGAACATGGCATTTAAATAACATCAAAAGTTAAACCTCTAGTACCCGTAGGAATGAAAATATAAAGATCATATAATAACATGTCAATGGTGAGGCCTATGCGTCTCGCGTCATCATACGATATAAAGGGATGATTGGCACCCGAGTCAAACAATGCATGTCTAAAGAGATCATTCAGAATGATTGTACCTCAAGGCATCTCAGGTGGCCTAGTAGTCTCGTCCTTACTGAGGGCAAATACCCTACCCTGAGTTTGTGGCCTCAAACTATCCCTATTCTGTAAATATTTATATGGTTTATCCATCAATCTCCCAAATTTATTGAGGCCTTTAACTAATTAAAATAATTATTTTCTCCTGATTTTCTAATATTTTCTTGAAAAACCTCTATTTACGGGAAATTCCGTACTAAATCATTTTCACTGAAATTCCATCTTTTAGGCTTTAACTGAGTTTCTAAAATCTCTACTCTACACTTTTCCCATTTTTCAGTGATTTTCTGGAATTTTTTCCAAATTTTCCCATTTTGCCCTTCCTAGACTAATAGTTATGAAATTGCCAGCCTGGACCTTATCAGGGTTTCACATTAAAAGTTGTTTCATTTCTCTGTATAGTTTCTACATTGATCCTTATCCCAATTTTTGATTCCCTACAACCAGGTAAGAATGTTTAGGATGTGACATCATTGGCCCCCAAATAATTCTCAAATTTTAGTTTAGTATTTAAGAATAAAAATAAAATTATAATTTAATGTGAAATGACTAAAATATTCTTGAATTGTTTTTTTAAATAAAAAGTCAGTCACTGCCGGCGATGGTCGATGGCAGAGTATAGGATAGATGGTTTTTTTCAATTGACTTACATTTACATTAAAATATTATCTTCATCGATCATGGTTTGTTTCATTTAAGATAAAAAAAATTGTATCTATGAAATATAAAAAAATTATTCACATGAGATCCAATCTCTTATCCTACTCAAAACAATGCATAATTCATAAATACTTATAATTAATCATCAAATTACTGACTTAGGAAGCTAACTGTTAATTTTTTGAAATTCATGTCATTTTAGCACATTTTCCTTTAGTAATTATACTTTTTTGCTGAACTAATGCATATTTAAATGTAATCATTAAAGGAAAATATGCATAGTTGATACTTAATCTAAAGTTATAGAGTTTTGGTTAATTGTAAATATTTTGTCCCTAGTTTATCAATTTTAATTGTCATAGTTTGTCTTGCTTTGTTTGGTGGTTGAAGCTTGCCATTTGAAGCGAATATTGATCCTCATGAAGTTGAAAAGATACTTAGGAAGCCATGACATAATGAAGAAGTCAAGAAAAGAGAATATACAAAACAGAACACCATTGGCCTTAGCCAACAGAATCTCTTGGCCTTAGCCAATAGCATTCCAAAGAGTAATTGGCCACAACCAAGCTCATTAACATGATATGATTATGTTGATTTTACTCCATGCTTAATGCTTCTTTTGATTAGCCATCAATGAGATTGTTGGGTTCACTTAATTGATACCTGAGAGAGCTATGTTGGGTGTAAAACTTGGGTTTAATCATGTGAGAATTTGAAGTTTGCAAGTTGAATGGATAATTTTGTTAATAAGATAGAGATATAGTCATTAACCTCACATAGTCATATAAGGTTTGCAATGAAAATTAGAGTTTGATTAATTAATTGAGTGATTAATGAATTAATTTAACTAAACACCTATTTGGAGACTTGAGAGAGCACTTATAGATAATTGAGTGTCATTGATTAGCATAATCTATAATTAAGAAGGAAATATAATAGGGATTTAATTGAATACTTTTGATATACAAAGGGAATAAATAATTCTAAGACCCATTTTGTCCTTCGAGTTGAACAATCACTTTTTCTTTTTATTAATTTCTAATGTTGAAAATAGTTTCCTTCACTCTTGATATATTTTATATAAATCAAATTAGGAGAAAGTGTGATAATTAGTACTTAACTGGATTTTGTGACCAAATCTTTGTGGTAATAACAATATTTTACTCATCACTTTATTACTTATCATGACCTATGCACTTGCGGTGTGAATACTAACCTCTCCACTTCTCTTATCATCCATGTTTTTTTTCACTTTTTTAATTCTCAACATTAGACCCACTTTGAATGGTTGAGATTTAATATCCTATAAGAATATTATTTTAAGATCAAATAACAAAAAATGTATATAAATAAATCTAAATTATTAAAATGTTGATTCGAATTAATTCACGTCTTTATAATTTTATTAAAATATTTTTTATATACATTTTTAACTTTTTATAAGATAAATTTAACAGTTCAAAATTGATTTAATGATGAAAATGAAGAAGTGGAGGGAAGTAAATGGTAAGGAAAGCTGAGAGGTTTCTTTCCCTTTTTTTTTTTTTTTTTAACATCATATGACTCTAAAACGTAATTACTTTATTTATGTTCTGTGAATAGTGAAGATGCTATAAATCTTTTATTATTATTGATGGTATGTGTCATTAGTATACCTATGATAGTTATAAAAAATTGCAATGTCCGCAAGTTATGAACAATGTGTCTTATCATATTCCATGAAATTTAAACACAACTTAGTTACTTTAATTATTCAAAATATTACGGAGAATAAAAAAACATTTGTATATATTTGCTTCTGGGTTCATGCATAGTAGGGGAGATATAAGGAAGGCACAAACCTATTTAACAATATCTTAATGCAATCAACGTAACTCATGGATCTTGTAACGGGAATAGAAAAATGCACTTTAACTATTGACTAATGTGTTTAAGAGAGTTAGATAATAGATAATACTGCCCCATCGTTAATATAAGAGATGAATAACTAATTTGTGAATATTAAGAAAATTAGTTGAGCTAGTTATTTCTAATAAATATATATTATCTTTCTTTAAATACCCTTATTAATCATATGCACTGGAACCACCATATCATAAAATCTTTAACATGTGCAATCACCAAAGACTATTTTGAAAAAGATAGATAAAAAAATTTGGAGTTTTATATTGTAACAATCACCGTTTAGGTCTAATTTGCATGATCTAAATTTAATTTTTTATCATTATTTTTAAATAAAAAATCATTTTTCAACAAAATCAGTTTTCTATACTCATTAAAATAATTATTTTAAAAAATCAAAATAAAAAAAAAGAAATTGAATCTAGACTATACAAATCAAATCTGGATTTTCCAGAGATGATGAGTTTGGGGTGCTCATCACTATAATGAGCACCAAAACTAGTTCCATTTTTATATTTTAGACAAAATTAAATTTCTAACTAGCTCTTATATTTAATGCTGGAGATAGTAGTTTTGTAATTATAATATTATTCACTAGTCACCCGCCGTGACATATTTATCCGTACATAATTACCTTTTAAGTGAAAACATAACCGCATCCATTCTGAGAGAAAAACATTCTGGAAAATTATTGTTTAATAGACAACACAAAAACATCGATAATTATTTAAGTGCGCTTGATGACAAATAATTGTCCCATTGTCTTGAACGATGGATCCAAAAGGAAGGTGGATTCTGCTAATTTCTTCTCATAGCCATTAAAAATTTCATCCACAAGCTCTTCTCCAAAGTGTTCCTTGAAGATGCCTTCCCACACAGCTCTCATGTGCATGCATGCACTACGAACATCTGGAAGTTGCTCGGTGAACAGACGAAGTAATAATTCTGACCTCTCAATTCTGAATTTCCCATTCTTCTCTATCAAGGATTTCACTTCTTCTGATGCTGGCATGTACGTAGGTATGTTGAACGAATCTACCAGCTCTTCACTAATTACTCCCTTCATTTGCAAAACATGTTGGTTATATATATATATATATATAGAGAGAGAGAGAGAGAGAGAGAGAGACTGTGAATTACCTTATTGACCATATCCACAAGAACATTCCCAATGATATTTGCATTAGCTTCAAATCGGTTCTTCGAATTTGGAGGGACACTGGGAATGAGAAAAGTGACGATACCTCCAGGAACAAGTTCAGAGGCCCTGGAATTCAAGAAACTTTCGATGTCTCTTTCAAATTGTGCAGAATATGCCTCTATGACTTTCTTGTCTTCACTTGTAAAGTAAATTTTGCCTTTGTTATAAGCAGGGGAGTTCTTGTCAACTATCTCTTTAGGCACCTTTGAGAGCCAATGAAGAGCATAAGATGAGTTAAACACATTAATGCTTGATTCTGGAAACAATCTGCCATGAAAGGAACCAGGCACAGCTGCTGCAAAATACTGCTTGTCCTCAGGAAGAGACTTTAAAAGTGTGTTGAAATCATTGCCAGCATGATCATTGAAGAACACTTGAAATTCAAGTGAATATTCTAAACCACGTCGCCCTTCATGAGATTGATCAATAAGTTTGAGTTTCACAGAGTCTATAATGTTTTGGACTGTGAAGAATGTGTTAGGTCCAACTGAACAGCCCAAATCTGCTATACGAAATGTATTACAAGAATTCTGCAGAAGAAGTGTTTGCAGATCAAGTTTCTCAGCCATGGCTTCTCTCATGATATTTTTGGTGATATTAGCTCCTGTTCGCTGCAAAAACAAGCATTAAATTAACTTCAATCTTCGTATATATGAAGCAGATTATAATTAAGAATAACACACAGAAAAGTTATGATCATTGGAAAAAACTAGGAAACCTGATGATCGGAATTTTGAGCATAGCTATCTTGGCCTTCTCCACCCTTCATTGTGAAAGCTTCATGAGAGGTAGTGTCTCTTTTGGTTGCCATATTTGAGATTTTTTTTGCGAGTATTCTTTAGAGACACACGTAGATGACTAACATTATGCAATATATACGTGTGTGTGCAGATTTCATAGCTCATTATTCATTAGTATAACGTTGCGTGAGGTTTTGAGAAAAAACAATGTTGGAACTTGCTTAAGCAAGCATATATACGAGCACACTGACATAGAATAATAAATAAAATTTTATATGTGGAAGATTTTTTATTATCTTAAATATAAGTTACCTTGGGAAAAATGAATGCTATTAACATTTTTCATGAACGCCCTAACCCACTGTGTTGTAGTGTAGAGACATGTGAGTAAATCAAAAAAGATAATGTTAGAAAGCAAATGGATAATTCGTAATAATTTTTAAAATTTAAACTACTTTTAACTAATTTTTAATCAGTGTAAAATAGTTAAAGATTATTTATGTTAAGGATCAGACAAAGAAGAAATAATGTTTTATAACTCAATTCTCAAATCTATATTTTTTTGGGGGAGTAGTACAGTATCTCCATTAGATGATAACTATGTCCAATTGCGTGGTCATTAGATTTTCACACGTCTTCAACCACTTTCATGAACGAAATATTCCTCTTTTCATAATCTAATAAAAAGTCAAACTCTCTTCTTCTTCTTCTTCTTTTCCCGGGTTATACTAGTCCCTTTCGTTCTTTTTACAAGGCACCTTCATATTATTACCGAAAGTAAATAAGTTTTCAATTGTTTCCTTAACTCTGTAAAAATGAACCAACTTTAGATTTGGAAAATAAGGTAAAGACGTAATAAATATCTTATATAGTACTACCTCCGGTCCTTAATATAAGAGATTGTTTGAGTTTTATTTTGGTCTTAAATATAAGACTTTAATCCATTTTGTCTCTTATATTTATCTATTTTTTCTCAAGACAGTCCTTGTAATAATAGTAATTCAAGCTAATACACTTGATTAACAATGATATTTTGGACAAGACAACATATATTCATTACAAGTAACTAACTTAACTAATTTTTTTAATCTAATCAAATTAGTTAACTAGCTCTTATATTAAGGACCGGAGGTAGTATCTTATAAAATTGACAAAAAAAATTCTTTAAATATTTTATTAAAAGGATTGAAGAGAGTAATTCAAATCGTGTATAGGCCATTTCATTTACCATTATTACTTTAAAAATAAATCATGATATATAGTTTGACATGTCTTGGTCTGGCTCAATTCCACATTGTTAAGTTAGCCACTGGTATGGTATTAAAATTAGAACTTAAGTTACGCAAGTTTAGAATATTAGTGCTTGGAATTATCATATTCACTGCGCAAGTTATCGCTACTTCTTTGACAATAACATTATCTTATTCATGAAAATCAACGTCAATAACATATATAAAATGTTATTTTTCAAACATCGAGAAACGTACGAAATCTATAATCTTAAGTATCCACAAATGATAATATATATTTATATAAAGGCAATATTCTCTCTATTTCGCTCGCAAAAAAAAAAAAAAAAGGGAACATGATTATTTAGGGAAAAAAAAAAAAGAAGCTGGAAATTTATAAATGTCAAATAAGGAATGTCAACAAAAATTTATTGTCATTTACAAAGTTAGTATTGTTAACACCAAATAACATGTTGTTACCAAATCTGATTTGGGATTTAATAATTTCCAGTTTTCTTTTTTGTCATTCTCCCAAAAAAATATTCCCTCGATTTGTTCTAACAGCAGACATTTTAACCTTAATAACTTAATTCTCATAATAAACTTCGTCATTGCATGCATTGTAATAAATAAATTAATGTGCTAGTCAAAGACATTGAATAATCAAGAGAGACATGTTAAACGTATTGCTCATGAACAAAATGGCATGGTATTGAAACTCAACATGGGTCAGCCAATCATATCAATTAACCAATAGTCCAACCAGTTCGGTCAAGAGTTTTACACAGGTCCATCGACTTAAATTTATATATATATATATATATATATATATATATATTGGTTGAGCCAAAGAAAAAATAGCAGTACATCTTATTTACCCTATTTTATTGGATTATATGTAGGGCTGGTAATACAGGCCAACCCGCGGGTTGCGGATTGGCCCGTGGCGGGTTGAGCTTGTGGCGGGTGGGGCTAAAAAGACTTGTTTGAAGGTGGGTTGGCTTTTAGCCAACCCTAACCCGCCAAGATGGGTTGGTGGGTTAGCCCGCCAACATTTATTTATTTTTTTTTGAAATATTTTTTTTTTTACTTTTTCATATTTTTTTCTCATATAATATTTTAAAAAAATAATAAAATTTTTGTTTTTCTTGAAATATTTGATTAAAAGCACCAAATAAATTATATAGGTATTTTTTGTTTTTTTAGATAGGATATAATATATAATAATATAATTATAATAATTTTAAAAATTTAAAAAAATAAAAAATAAATAAATGCGGGTTAGCCCGCGGGTTGGCGGGCTAACCCGCAGCGGGTTATGGGCTTGACGATGCGGGTTAAAAGGCTCGTTTACTGGCGGGTTGGCTTTTACCCTATTACCAGCTCTAATTATATGTGGTTTATATATGAATACTATTCTATTTACTTATGGATTAATGTCTTTTATTTGTTGGCAAAAAATAATTCTTTTTATTTGAATCTCACTCTTTTTAGGTTATATGTATGTGTGTGAATAATTTTATATATTTTAGTTATGATTGCATTGACCTAGTTTAATTATGATAACAGTACTAACTCTTCAAACCATTGCCTCAACTGATTTGGTGGCTAATCTAATTTTGATTACCTTACAAAATAGAATTAACGAATTACATTACTAACGGCCTTATATATATATATATATGAGATGGCTTCGGAAACTCTCTCTGAATCTGATGCTAGTGGTGGTGGAGGAACACTGGAGGACAGTGATCCGTACAAGTGGCGCTGGAAAAAAGACAAGAAAGTGAGTAATGAATCAGAGGAAGGATCTGAAAGTGACAAGAATGAAGAGAAAACTGCATCCTTCAAGGACAAACTGATGGGGATGGAGAATGTGACTGTCTTGAGTGATAGGAAGGGAAGTCAAGTCTTCGACGACGCTTGGAATGACTACCTTGAAAGTCTTAAAAACTATTTCATCGATGCAGCGACCAACCAAGACCAAGAACAGGCCAATGATGAGGATGAAGATTGTCCAACCTTAAAAGTTAACTGAGAGGATTACGAACAGTGGTGTGCTCCATAGAGGAAGTCTCTAATCATCAAGCTGCTTGGTAAGTCATACCACTATGGGTGATGAAATCAAACCTTTCCCGACTGTGGAAGACAGAGCAACCATAGACGACCCGAGACATTGACAACGGCTTCTTTGTTGTTTCTTTTGACAACGAAGATGATTTGAATGCCATTTATCAAGATGGTCCCTGGATGACCACAGATCATTACCTCATTGTGCAACGGTGGTGGCCAAACTTCGACCCTTGGGAAGCAAAGTTGCAGAAGAAGATTGCCGCGTGAGTGCGCATACTCCTTCTTCCCTTAGAATTCTTCAACAAAGAAAGCCTGCAAATGATTGGTAAACTCTTTGGAAGAACACTAAAAGTTGACACAATTACACACAAAAGTGAAAGAGGAAGAAGGTTTACACAGATTTGCGTCAAGTTAGACCTTAGGAAAAAACTAAAGTCAACCATCAACGTGTTTGGAAAGCACCGGGTCTTGGAGTACGAAGGGTTGCACTTCATATGTTTTCAATATGGGAAGTATGGTCATCATAAAGATGTTTGCCTAGAGATGGTAAGTGCCTCCAATGTGCAAGAGAAGGGGACTGATGAGCAAGTAAATGGTGACAGGACGACACAAGCTGTGAAGGTTAACGTGGATCTCAATTCTGCTCCTAATGAACCGGCTACTATTCCTCAGGAATCCTTGCACAACGTCTCTCATAGTGGTATCCCGAAGCGACCGAATGACGATACGATGGCCGAAAAAGTATCCAGCACAGTGACGGTACTGAAGACAAAGGGGCTGGGAGTTTGGAACCTAGTCTAACAGTCCAAAGGGAAGAGAATAGGAAACATTGCCAAGTTGGGATCTAGTATTAATCACCAAGACAATATCTCACAGAAAAATGTCAACCCAAATCAGAATCGCGAAAATCGTGGAGCCAAAAATCATGATATCCAAGTTAGGAAAGAAGAGGAGAGAATCACGAAGGGTATGAACGGATATCCTAAAACAGTAGGGAAGGATTATGTATCTAATATGAAGTGGGTCCTGGTGGACCAAGTCAATATTTCTAAAATAGGAAATACAAAATCAGGAAAGGGAATTATTTCACGAAAACTTAAAACGACAGAGATCAAATTGACGCTACCCGCTACCCACACGAGAACAAACTTTTGGAACGCGCATAACCCTTTTGAAGCCCTTCTGAACGTCAGCAAAACTGAAACGGATTTGGGCAAAGGAAAGGCCTGGCCGGAGACGTGTGTGACCCAGCTGAACTTTATGAAAATACTGAAAGCCCCAAATTTGCTTCTTCTTCGAGCCATGCTAAAGCTGGTTCTCAAAATACAGACATGTTTGTCCCTTATCATTTCATCTTGCCCCAAGATGAAATGATAAGGGATAAACAACCTGATGCTACTTGTTCTCCTAAGGGGTCTATAAGCATGAATGCCCCTCAACACCCTGCTCCATAAACTGTATCTTTTGGAATTGTCAGGGTCTGGGGTCTAAGGTCTTCCCTGGACTCATCAGAGAAATTAAAAAAAAGTATAAAATTGACTTTTGTGCTCTTTTTAAAACCAAATCAAGTGGTGACAAAGCTCAGCAAGTTTGTAAAAAGCTTGGTTTCTAACATTAAGAAATCGTGGATGTGACTGGCTTCAAAGGTGGAATATGGGTATCTTGGACGAATGATAATTTCAACTTTAAAATTCTTGAGGTTAATGACCAATTTATTCATGCTGTAGCGGAGAAAAACGATGAGAGAGTTTTATTCACTTCAGTTTATGCTTGCCCAAACAGCAATATTTGGCGGTCCCTTTGGAATAACCTTAC